GCAACTACAGGGATGAACCTCAGAAATGACGCTGAGTGAGAAAAGCCAGACACAAAAGGCTACACGTCAGATGATTCCATCTACACGAAATGTGCAGAACAGACAAACCGCACGCGTGGTCTTTAGGGCCTTGCAGAGGTGAGAATGGGTATGAGGTTTCTCTATCAGGTGAGGAGGACGTTCTGGAACTAGACGGAGGTAGTTGCACAATACTGTGAAAGGTGCTAAATGCCACCAATTGTTCATTTTTTAATGGTTAATTTTACGTTAGTGAACCTTACCTCCATAAAAATAGTAAAAAGGACATTGGGTAAAAACAGGAAATCTGAATAAAGTGTGGACGTTCCTCAACAGTGGCCAGCTTGCTGCATCTCTGAGAGGCCCAGCAAACACAACTGTCCTGGGGCCTCTGCCCTTGCTGTGTCTTTAGCTGGAGACTTGAGGAGACAGAGAAGCTGGGTCAGACCCCAGGGGGCCAGCTCCGTTTGCTCCCCTCACCTTCCTCTGGCCGCCTCAAAGGTCAAGGTGCTTATTGTCTAGGAAAGGGTGTGACCAGGAGACTGAGTGCCTGGGATGTTGGCAAGGACGTTTGGGTGCCATAGAGGGGATAGTCTGCCCCCCAGGGGAGGGAGAAGGACCTGCAACCCACGTGGGGCTCCAAGGCAAGTCAGGGAGGGGAGGTTGTGGTGTTCAACCCAGCTGTGGGCTCTGCTGGGGCGTCTCCTTCCTGCAGACACAGGAACACAAACAGCAAGAATCATTTTCTCATTTTGAAGGAAAACAGTAAGATCTCCCTAGACAGTGTTGCTGTGCCCAGGCCTCCCTGTCCAGGAACAGACTTCTAGGGGTTTCAGAAAAGGCCTCCCTTCCAGAATGTTATGGAGAAGCTAAGTTTCCCTGGTGCCGAGGGAGGGAGGCCATAGTCCACACACACTTGCACTTAGGGATGCTCTCCAGCCCTGGTCACTGGGATGTTTAACAGGCTGGAGGGGCGCGACATGGAGGCACAGGCCTGGGGTGCTCATGGGTAGTTTGCAAAGGAACAGAGAAGGGAACAACGGGGGGGGAAGACACTTGAGGACCCACAGAGGCAGAGTATTTTTAGGCGCTGAATGCAGCCCTGAAATATTTCCACGGCCACTCCCGAGAGTGAGCTCGGTGACTATTTCAGTGCCTGGTTCCAACGGAGGTGGGGCAAGGATGAGTCACCTCTGGGTGGCTGGGCTGAGACTGGGAGGGAGCTTTTAGGGTAGGACTGGGGGCCTGCGAGGTGACTGCTCACCAGGCCAGGCGTCTGGTGCCAGCTTCTGAAGCAGAGAGGACGGGGCCTGGTGGCTGCCCACAAAATGGCACCACCGATTGGGGCCCACTAGGACAATGAGCCAATCATGCTGACCCTGAGGCTTAGAGAGATGGAGAGGGACTTGGGTGAGGCTTCAGACACTCCACAGGTGCTCACTGACACACTACGGAGGTGGTTTCAAGCATAAATAGAGCATTTGCTGTATACCAAGCATCCAACCTTCTGTAATCCCCTTAACAACCCCCGGAGGTGGAGTCCAGTTACCAGGGAGGAGACAGGCGCAACTGGGCCCAACCTGCAGGGCCCCTTGTGTGCATCAAACTCTGTCCCTCAGCTGAAGCTACTGTGAGGGGAGTAGGTTTTTAAGCAGGAGCTGACCTTGCCTGCCTGCTGCCTGCGGAAACTGACTCCAGACTCCTTACTCTGTGCTGGAGACAATAGACCCTCTAAGTTCAAGACAACAGAGGGAAGAGCTCTGAGGAGGCTCTGGAGCTGCGGGACCTCAGGCAGGGCACTTGCCTTCTCTGTGTCTGTGTGGGAGCAGGCAGAACTCAGGGGCTTTGCACTTATTCCCACCACCTGTTCTCTGCTCTCTTCGCCTGACCAGTGTCTTCTGGAGCTAGTTGGACAGTGTCCCCTCATCCAGGCTTCCTCCTCCACACCTCGGAAAGATCCTGCCTTGGTGTCCTGGGCTTCCTGCGTGTAGGGAGCCCATCTGCCTAGGTCTTCACAGCACTTTGCCCTTCTTCTACCTTGTGGCTGCCACTGTCGGCTGAGTGCTGAAAATTCCCTCTTCCTGGTCTCCTGGCTTCCACCCTTGCCTCACTGTGTTCTGGAACCCTCGGTGACTTCCCATCTTACTCTGGGCCTGCACCCACTCCATTTCCTGCCCCCTCACCAGTCTGCAAAGGGCCTTTGTATGGCTGATCTTCCATCTTAACACTGTTCCCCAAGATGTCTGGCTCCCTCACCTCCCTCAAATGTCACTCTCTTGCCATCTCGGACCATTTCCCCTGGGGAGGATGGTTATCACCCTTGCTTTCTTTGCCTCCAGAAGCACCTGGCATGGGGTTGTGGCCCCCATTCCTCTGTCCTAAGCCAGCCCTCTGCTGTGTTGTGGTGGGTGGCTTCTCCCACTGGGGATGTCTGAGTTAGGCCTTCTCCGGTACCCCAATGGCTAAGTAGCCCTTTGTCCACTGAGGGATGGTAGGGGACACTGGGACACTTGCTGAGCCACTGCAGACACACAATGCCAATGCCAGGATGTGCCCTGCCCTAAGGTGCAGCTGGAGGGTGGGAAGAACACCTGCCATCACACCACCTAGGGGCAGTGGGCTTGGGGCAGGGCTGTGAGGAGGAATGACTTGGACGAGTGTGCAGGCAAGAGTGACACAGAAAAGCAAGAGAAAGCCTCCCAAAGGGCTAACTGTATCTAAGTCCCAGAAATGGGCTCTTGGCTCCAGGCCAAATCACACCTGGGTGCATGAGGCCCCCTGATGGGGACCAGGAGCACGCCCCAGGGGGAGGAGGTCACTGTCCCACTCAAGGGTCCTGCACTGTCAGCTGGAGGGCACAGACCCCACTGACAGACCAGCAGCAGAACAGAAAGATTGAGGCCCCGTACTTTTGGTTTCCCTTCTTGCTGAGGAGCTGAAGCTGGTTCTTGAAACTAACCAGGAAGAAGAAAGATTAAAACAGGGCTGTCCCAACGGCCAGCTCAAGACAGGACCTTCAGGGAGCCCAGGCACCCAAGCAGCGGGGCCAGGGCAGCGGCTCACATGCAGGGTGGGGGGAGAACAGCTAACCAGGCTGCCTTTCGTCTTTCAGAAAGGTCAAGGCCAGGTAGATGAGGCAAGATTACACAGGCTTGGGGTGGGCGGAGCTTAGAACAATGCGTGACCAGAGGCAAGCTCCCATCCCTGGACTTGAGAAGGGAGCTGGTGGCCTTTGGGCCCTCTTGGTCCAAATCACAGTCAAACTGCCAGGAGCAGGGAGCAGGCCTCTAAAGGACTTCCCATCGCAGTCCATGGGGCGCCTGGTCCCAGAGCCCCCTCCATCAAAGCTCCATCAGACCAGGAGCCCAAAGGCCTTGATGGGCCCCTGCATCCAAGGCAATGACAGCAGGAGGAGGGACTGGAAACAGGCTTCTCCTTCCCCACCAGGCCTTCACATCCTCCCCCTTCGCCATGTCAGCAGCCCTGACCCCCAGTCCATGCTGCCATGGCCTACGTATCTGGTGAGGGAGATGGGTTCCAGGGGCCTTGGCTTACCAGAGCCCCTGCCCCATCCCAACCCAGGCCAAAGTGCTACTTTGTTAGACTGAGGATTCAGGGTTAGGGTTGGCAGTGAGTCCCCCACAGGGTGGGACCAGGAAGTAGTGGTGGAGGTAAGGGAGCCGGGAGGAGGAGGCAGACGGCGTTCTTGAACCTAAAATGTGGAGGAGCTCTCCCAGACTGGGGAGACTCGTCTACACTTCACAGATCCCACAGTGGAGTTGCCAGGGCAAAAGTGCCTTTTATTCTACTCACCCCTCAAAACTGGTCTCAACCCGGTGACAAGTGGCCAGGACTCATCTCCTAACACCAGTTGTGCCTGTACTTACGAAAGGAAAACCTGTCCGCAGACAAGTGACGCTGGAAGCTTTGCAGGCGTGGTTTGGCGTTTCAGGCAATGTGGGTGACAGTGCCTGGAGGAGTGAAGAGGCTCCGGCAAACCTGCACGTTCCTCCAGGCATCGGCCGTCTTGGTGAACTCTGGTGTGGACAGTGCTTGCAAGATAGGGCGGACTGTTGGTGGCAAGACTGGGCCTTGTGGGTGCCTGCTGGCTCCCATCCCCACGTCTCACAGCATCAACCCTCTCTACCAAGAGGGGAGGGGGTTAAGGCCAATCTGGGGCAACCTCTGCCCCAATGCCAGTCTCATACCTTTCCTTTCACAAGAAAACCTTGAGGGACATGGCTAAGTGTCCTGTTGAAACACCTACCCTGGCTAGTGTGGCTCAGTGGATTGAGCGCTGTCCTGCAAACCGAAAGGTGGCCTGGTTCCAGGTTAGGGGATATGCCTTGGTTGTGGGCCAGGTCCCCAGTTGCAGGTATTTGAGAGGCAACTGATCGATGTTTCTCTCCCTCTCTTTCTCCATCCCCAACCCTCTCTCTAAAAGTAAATAAATAAAATTTAAAAACAAAAACCAAAATGAAACCTACTCTCAACAAGATGGGCCACAGCCCTCAAAAGGAAACCCCTTACAGGGCTGTGATTTCCTGAGGTTACCACGTGCTGTATGTGCCCAGTGGCTCAAAAGGAATTTTGGGTTTGCAGTTTGCAGTTATTTTGTTTTTATTTTTGTAACACAAAGAGGGAGAGGAGGCAAAGGGGAGGGGCCCAACCACATTCCCACAACAGCTTTTGAGGCACATGCCTGTCCAGATCTGTTCCGAAAAGCCAAATTCAGGTCTGTGTTTCAGCAAAACTCCGTGGATGGTCAATCTCAGTGCAAAGAACTTAAAAGGAAAACCTCCTGTCTGCCTGCCACACAGGGCTCCAACAAGAGATGCAAAACAAAACTTTGGAAAATGGCCCCTTTAACACACAAGGGCAAGGGCTCTAAAGGTGCATTAACACAGAGAACCTTCCAGGAATCAAGTGGGCTGCAACTTCACAAAATCTAAAACACCAAATAACATTTCCAACCGTTGAAATGCTGGGTTAAAAAAACACTTTATATAAAGAAAAGGATAACAAAACGTGCAGGTGGAGGTCCCCCCAACACCTGCCTCATTTCTGTTCTGAACAGACAGGTGGGCTGGAGCAGACATGCAGCCTGGAGCAGGGGCGCTCGAGTCTCTGAGGCTGCGGGCCACTCACTGTTTGCCCGTCTGCCTACCGGGCTTCTTTTCCGGCTGACCTCTGCCAGTGCCTGGGATCCCGCCTCGGCCCCGGCCGCCAAACACACCTGCAGAACAGAAGCGGAGGCTGCAGGGGAGCCTGGTTCCAGGGTATTCTAACCCCTCTGGGCCTCAGTGGCCCCTTCTATAAAGTGGGCAGGGGAGGCTGCAAATGGGTAGAGTATCTGACCAGGGCCAGGCACGGGTGGTGCTTGAGAATGTTCTCAGTGTGACAGGAGGACACCAGGTCCGGCTTCCTGGGAGAGGGCCCAGGGCTGGGGTAGGGAGTGACTGGAAGAACAAAGGCAGAAGGGCTTCCAGGAGGGGGAAGAGCCAGGACAGGGGCAGGACTCTGGCAGAGTGGGCCAGACACCCCCAACTGTGAGGCTGAAGTCTGCACTGGTGACCCATGACCTCGCTTATGGTGATACCACCCTGCAGGTACAGAGACCGGTGCAGGCAGGGGTTGCCCCACCTCACCTCTCATGGATCGAGACCAGCTTTGCTCTACCTGCCACTGAGGTCCCTGGAGCCTCTCTCCACAGCGGGCAGAGAGGCCCCTCCCCCTACCTCCCTGAGGCTCAGCCAGCAATGGTGCCCCCCAGTGCACAGGGCCTGGCGTCGGGTATGAGACAGGCCCTGAGACCCTGGGGCCCCACTAAGAGTCCCTTTCAATCTTCCGTCCAGAGTGCCCTCCCACCCTCTTCACCATGGCTCACTCCTGTCACCTGAGCCTGGCTCAAGCTGGCTCTAGGCCTGGCATTCAGGAGGTCCCCACAGCCGGAAGAGACAGAGCCAGAACACTCCAACAATAGGAGCCTGACTGGGAGGTGGGGCTTACAGATTGCCTCTGGGCCCAGCTGACTAGACAAAAAATTTAATCTTATGCCAGAGTTGGCATCTCAGGGCAGTGAGGGGGAGTCAGTCAAAAAGGTGTGACTGTGGCTTTGCATCAAGGTGTCAGGGTGGAGAGGGGTCCTGTGCCAGCCCGAGCTGGGGTCCACGCCTGCAGCTTGATGAGGTGGGCACTGCTGGACCCTCTCTAAAGAGTGGAAACTGAGGCTTAGGAAGGTGCGTGCCATACCCAGACACAGACAGGTATGGAGACAAGGGCTCAAGGCCCAGGTCTATGTGGGTACCAGGCCCATCTGCTGGGCCGGACCTAGAGCTGAGGGCACCAAGGACTCAGCTGGGACCCTGGGCTGGGGCAATGGCAGGTGGCAGTCAGCAGCAGCAGCCACTCCACAGAAGAGGCCTGTGAGTCACAGCTTCCCAGCTCTGTCAGGGGTTAGGGCTAGGGCTCAGAGCCAGGCCTGCTGCTGCACCATGAGAGCACCAGCCAAGAATGTCAACACTGGGCCGAAAAGGATGCCACGTGCTACCGCTACCCCAGTGTGTGTGTGTATGCACGCGCGTGAGAAGGGCCTACCTCGCCCGGCACCCCCCATGCCACGGCCTTTCTGCTGCTTCTGCTGCTGCAGACCACCGCGACCACGACCTTTGGCCACCACCTCTTCCTTGACCATGTCAATGATCTCGTCAGGGATGCGCAGATACTTGATGGTGCTGCCTCGGATGTAGCACTCTGGCATCCGCCAGAACTTGTCTCCATCCTGCACGAGAGGGAGCAGCTATCTGCACCTGCCTTCACCCCTGTAGGCTGCCAAGTTCACAGTCCCAGACATGACATGGGACTCCTCCGGTGGGGTCAACAGACATTCAGCACCCTTGGCACATGAGGAAGAGCCAGGGCTATGTGGGAGACGGCCTCCGCCTGTCTTTCAGTACGGGATGGGATTTATCACATGCAGCTCAAAGCCCAGGGCGGGGGCTGCCCCATGGACCAGGTGCTGCCACAGCCCAGTTGCTGTCTGCTCCTGCCCCCAGCCTTCTAGAACCCACCTTCTGGAACCTTTTCTACATCCCTGACTCATTCGTTCATCCAACTATTTCCTGGCAGGGTCCGAGTTTGGCATGGGACACAGGGCAGGAGGACACAGACCTCGTGAGACAGGTGAAGAAGGTCAGGAGAGGGGAGGGAGACAGGTCTGGCGCTCACCAGGAGTGGCTCCCCAAGATGCTAGTTTTCAGGGAAGCTAACTGAGGCTGGAGAGACAAGGGGGCTAGAAAAGACAAAACCCTGTGGTTCTTACTACATGGATGCCATGCACCCTACCCCCTCCCCTCTGCCCCCTGCCAGGCGCCCAGCACAAGGCCTCCCCCTAAAGTCTCCTCCTGCTGCCCTTGGGCAGGAGCCCAGGGCTTCTTCCACCAGATTAGTTTCCCAGCCCCACCCCCATTGCTTGGAGCCAGAAGCCTGGGTAGCCTTCTCCTCCCCCCACACCCTTAGAAATCAGACCAAGACCTCTCCCTGCTTAGAACCCAATCAGAGCCTGGGCTGGTGTGGCTCAGTGGGTTGGGCGTCCTCCCACAAACCAAAAGGTCGCTGGTTAAATTCCCGGGTCAGAACACACGCCTGAAGTGCCGGCTGGGTCCCCCGCTGGGGACGTGCAAGAGGCAATAGATCGATGTTGCTCTCACATATCTCCCTCTCTTTCTCCCTCCCTTCCCCTCTCTCTAAAAATAAACAAATAAAATCTTTAAAAAAAAAAAAACCCAAAACATTTAGGGCCCCCTTGGCCCAAGGATCAGGTCCAAATTCACGATGGCTCCCAGGGCCCAAGATCCAGCCCCACCCTAGCTGCCCTGTCTTGGCACATTCAACACACTTTCCAAATGGAACTTTCTGGAACACACAAAGAGGGCTTCTGGCCCCTAGCACTTGGCACACACCATTGTTGGTTGTCGTCTTTCCTTGTCCAGCTATCTCTAGTCCATGACAGGGCTGGCCTCCCAGTCTCCAGTCTCCCCAAAATCCCCAGTCCTCCCCAATCCTCCCCAGCAGTCTGGTCTGGCCCAGCAGAGGCGCTTGGTGGGTGAGACAACGTTTGAGGGCTGCTCTTCCCAGGAGCGTCCACGAGCTCCCATCCCACAGAGGAACCCTACAAGGCCCCGCACATTCCTTTCCCAGAAAGAGTGGGCAAAGGGCCAAGTCTGTGGGGATGCAAAGCACAGCCAGGCAGAAACAGAAGGATTCCGTAGAAGCTCTCAGCCAGGGCTAGGGCTGGCTGCTCCTGGATCGGCCCTCCCTCAGCCAAGGTCAGGCTGAGCCCAGTGCGCTCCCTGCAAGAGCCAGGGCTCCCTCTGCTTTCTGTGGCAGTAACTTAGCACCTCCCAACCCGAGCTTCCCCTGGGATCTTGGTCTCTGGATTCTGCCACCCACCACCCAAGAGATTTCGATCCTCACCCCAGCCTTTTCTCCCAACCATCTGGATGGACACAGAAGGAAATGTCCAGAGGAGCCAAGTTTCCAAGTTTAGTTGGTGCTGGAGACTGGACCAACCAAGGCCTGAACCCGGTAGTTGGTTCTAGGTCCCACGAGTGGATACAGATCTACTGGCCATGTGCAGAAGGACATATGCATGTAAGGCTATGCAACGTGGCCCTGTCTGCTAAGACCACAATGGAGCCACCCAGACATCTGCTGCACATGGCAAGAAATCCAGGAGGGAGCTTCTAGCAGGCTGGGGTGGCAGCTCCACAATGTACCAATACAAGGAGCAGGTCAGACCTGTGTAGGTGAGGGAAGGGGTCATGTCACCTGTCTGCCTGTGAGGGCATGAACCATCCAAAAGGATGGACCGGGGTAGGGGGCTGCCTCATAATGTGCGTGGCAAACCCTAGGGGCATGCTGCCCATAGGCTCAAAACAGCCCCACCCTGGCTGGGGCCCTCAGCAGCGTCTTCTCCTATAACCTGGGGGGCTGTGGCTCGCAGGGGGACTTAGACTGGAGTCCATGTATATTACTTACTGTGAGAGAGCCCTGCCTCCACCACCATCCTTGTCCTCATGGCTCTGGGGTCATCCCAGCCTGCGACCCCAGGGACCTGCCCCCAGCCCTGGTGGGTTAGGTTCTGGCCCTGCACTTCCTGGTTTCAGGCCTGCGGAGGTAAACAAGCCTCCTGGTCCATGAGGCTACAGGGCCACCTTGCCCTCTGGTGGCCTGGATACCCCAAAACTACACCACTATGGCCTATAGCCTAGATCAATAGCAGCTAAGGCAGACAGGAAGGTGGGGTCTGCCTGCCCTGTAGGCCAACCCCCACCAGTACAGCAGGGACCTATAGCCAGAAGCACCCCCTTAGCCTGAGTCCTTCCTAGTCAGGGGCAGAATCAGGGACAGGAGGAGGAGGGGAACAGCTTAATACCTGCTCAGGAAACATCCCCACAGGTACAGTCCTCATAGGTTCAAAGTCCAGGCACTAGGGACTTGGAGCCCTGTCCCTTGGCACTACTCTACACCAGCCTAGTCCCGAAGGCCCCACCCTTGGTTGGAAGACTTGTGGTAGGCTGGACGAGCCCCCCATCTCCCAAAAGGTACAGGAAAGGGCCTTCACCCAATCTGGAGGCCAGAGTGCTGAGGCCCTGTAAGCCTCCAGTCCACGCACACTCTCCTGGTCACATGGTCCCTACTACCCCCACACCCGCCCGCCCCACCCAATGGTCCCCAGGTGTCGGCCAGCTCCAGCACAGGGCACTCACCCTGGACGTGCAGATCACCTCGCGCAGGTTGATGTTCATCCAGTTGTCACAGCTGACAAGGTGCCCGTTGTATGTCTCACCATTTTTAAGCTCTACCAACTGGACGGAAATGGGCCCCAAGTCAGGTGCATCCCTGCCACTAGAGAAGCCCTGCCCTTATCCAGACTCGTCCTCAACTCCTCTCAGGACCCAGGGGCCACTGCACTCAGCACCCAGGCCCTCCAGGGAGCACATTTTACAGGGACACATTCTGCTTTTTCAGCATATTTTGCTGGGCATTGTAGATTTTCTACGGGGTAATCTTTTTTTTTTTTTTTTTGGTGAAAGGGGAAAAAAACCCCAAACAAATAAAGAATAGACTGTGATTTTAAAAAGAACCAACTCAGGTAGATGCCCAAGAGAAATAAAGGCATTCATCCATGCAAAAAATGCACACAGGAGCCCTGGCTGGGTTGGTGGGAGCTGCATTCTGTACACCAAAAAAGGCTGCGGGTTCGATTCCCGGTCGGGACGCATACCTAGGTTGCAGATTCAATCCCTGGTCAAGGCATGTACAGGAAACAACCAATCAATGTTTTTCTCTCTCTCCCTCTCCCTTCCTTTCTCTCTAAAAGCAATAAACATATCCTCTGGTGAGGGTTAAAAAAAATGTATATACAAATGTTCACAGCAGCCAGATATTCAAATAGGCAAAAAGCAGAAATACCCCAAATGTCTATCAACTGGTGAATGTGATGAACACATGGCGACCCATCCACACAATGAAAAGCTACTCGGCCATTAAAAAGAGTGGAGCACTGACACAGGATGGAACCTGAGAACACCGTGCGGAGGGCAGACAGACCCGTGGGCCACACGTGTGATCCCGTTTGTGTGAAATGTCCGGATCAGGTAAACCCACAGAGACAGAGCACGGACTGGTGGTTGCCAGGACTGGGCGAGGGGGATGGGGAGCGACTGCTAGTGGGGATGGGGTCTCCTCGGGGGTGAGGGAAATGTTCTGGAACCAGCCAGAGGTGACGGTTGTACAACACTGTAAACTGGCTAAAGGCCACTGCACTGTTTACTTTAAAAGATTGAGTTGTATGATATTTGACAAAGGAAACAGAATATATTGAAAAACAACAAAAACCAGTTTAAAAAATCACATTCACATTTATACGCACATATATCACAGAATTAGTTAAGTTGCTGGGAAGATGAATGCGGGGGCTTCACTCTAGGTTCCTCTCCTGTTTGACATTTTAAAAAAGATTTCATTTAGCCCTGGCTGGTGTAGCTCAGTGGATTGAGCACGGGCTGTAAACCAAAGGGTCGCCAGTTCAGTTCCCAGTCAGGGCACATGCCTGGGTTGCGGGCCAGGTTCCCAGTGAGGGGTGTGCAAGAAGCAACCACGCAGTGATGTTTCTCTCCCTCTTTCTCCCTCCCTTCCCCTGTCTAAAAATAAATAAAATCTTTAAAAAATATATATTTTTAAATTTTTAGTAGAGAGGAAGGGAGGGAGAAAGGGAGGGAGAAAAACATGGATGAGCAAGGGAAACATCGACTGGCCGCCTCTCATGCAACCCCCACTGGGGACCTGGCCTACAACCCAGGCATGTGCCTTTACCTTGACCAGGAATTGAACCAGTGACCTTTCAGTTTGTAGGCCAGCACTCAATCCATTGAGCCATACCAGCCAGGGCGTGTTTGACATTTTAAATAAGCATGTATTACTTTTGTAAGCAGCCGAAATGACTCTAGTCCTGACCCATGTGGGAGGGAAGAGAACAAGCTGCTGCTTTGTGGACGGGCAGGGAATCAGGTTCAGCTGGAGGCACCTCACTCTTCACCCAGTGTCCCCGTCCCTGTGCCAGGGCGGGTCCCCAATGAAACTCGTCGCCCCAGATGGCACCTACTCACCATGGGGTGATTCTGAGCCGTCTTCAGCAGTGACAATGGAAGCTGAAAGACAAGACAAACAAGAGCACGAGATTTGCCTGTTTATTCTGCACCCGGGAGCCCCAGGCCGCAGGGCAAGGTCCCACCACAGCACCAGGGGTACAGAAGCACACATGCCTAACCCACTAAGAGGCACTCTCATTCTGCACAACCTCAGGACACGCACCTGCCTTCCAGTTTAGGAAAGAACATCTCAAGCTCCACCTTTCCTCCCAGAGGCAGCTGCCACCTAGTCCCACTGCTGAGCACTTGCTTTTTAATACCGCACACTATACATTCCTTCACATCCACCATGCTTATCAACAGTATCGCAGTGTGCAGGCCCTCTGCTGCTGCTGTTTGCTCTGCCGATGCCTGAGATCCACCCACATGGATACAGGCAGCTCCAGGTCTTTCATTTCCAGCATCGCATATGGTTATCACCACCCCTCTTTACAGATGGGCACACTGAGGCTTAGAGACTGAGAATATTGCCCAGCACTAGAGCTAGCAAGAGAAAGAGCTTAGCTTGACCCTTCTGTCCGCAGCCAGTGGGGGAAGCTCCCACTGGACCAATAGTGACTCGGCCAGGCACAATGGGGAGTCCACCTCGATCTGAGGAGACCACATCTGAACTGAGTTCTCAAAGACAGGACTTCAATAGGTCAGAGGAGGAAGCATTCCAGAAAATCTTTGTGGTTTCTGCAAGAGATGGCAGGTAAAGGATGGAATCTTTTAAACTCACACAGATAAGGTGGGCTTTTAAGATATCTAGTTTTCCATCATTACTGAATTCCTTTTTCATAATAAACATGGTATAACGGGGGGAAAAATCTGCTCTTCTCATTTTGGGAACCCAATTCAGGACCCTGTACCAGACTGGAGCTGCCTCTAGATCTCCAGAAGGCTGACTCAGGTGGCAGTGCTTGGGTCCGGGGTCCAATGGCAGCCTATTCAGTGTAGCTAGATGAAGGTTCTAGACAGAGCCCCATAGACAGGAAACTGCCACGGGGAGGGACAAGGCCTCACCTCGTCCTGCCCTGGCCTCACACTACTGATCCGATATGGGCAGCTGTTTCTTCAGGCCGTGGAACTGGACAGCCTCTCCAGTGGAGGCCGGAAATGGCCCTCGGCCCCCAGAGGGTGGCTCCCATGGAAGGGCTTGGGTGGGGGGTACAAATCCCATATCCCACTGGCCTTCCCTGATAGGAGTCACAGGGGGAGGTCCAGCGACAACAGGAAGCCAGGCCCAAGCCCACTTCCTGCACTGGCTTCCTGGACAACCAAGATAAGGAGAAAGAACAGGCCACGTGGAGAATGGGCAGCTGCTCCACAGAGGATGAGCAGGTTGGAGACCAACGGAGCCAGTCACAGCTCCTGCCCTCTCGTTTGCGTGCGTCTGTGTGACACTGTAACCAGGCTTCGAAGGGGAAACAGGACACTCCGCTCTGCACTTGGGGCCACAGGCCCAGATCACCTTTTACTGTGCAGACGCTACGGGGTTTCCTGGGCAGTGGCAATCTGAACCAAGATGATGAGACACCTGGGTCCTCCTCCCAGATCACCAGAGAGTGGACAGGGTCAGGCTAACTCTGGAATGTGAGAATGAAAATGGACTCAGTTGCCAAGACGTGGAGGGAGGGTCAGAGGAGGAAACTGCCCAGGGACACACAGCAAAGTCCTGGTAAAGCCAGTGAAAGCAGACAGATGGGCTTGTCAGTACGGGACCAACAGATGTCCTTTTATGACATACACAACCCCTATGCTGGTGACTACCTTTCTCGGGTCACCACCTCGTCCCAGCTCCAGGACAGTTCTGGAGGACCCATAGCCTCTACTGTTGTCACGGGTAGTGCCCTAGCCACAAAGCACCTGAGAGGACATGTGAAGCCTGGGAGGGACCAGGACCTGCTCCCAGCTCTGCCCTGAATTCCCTATCCCCACCCCCTTGGCAGGCCACAAGGCCAGACCTGACTAGCCCACTCCACTCCGCTCCTCACACACCATACAGGTTCCCACTGCTCCACCTTTGTTCCTGTGATTCCTTCTGCCTGGGGGGGCCTTTCCCCAGGCTGACTGCTGCTCAATGGTCCCCTCCCTCTGCCAGGCTTTCATAATAACCCCATTTAGGAAATGAGGTTTCCACCTGGGCCACCCTCTGCTGTTTCCATCACAGGACGTAGCCAGTCTCTAATTATCTTGTTTACTTGTCTCCCTGGCTAGACTTGAAACACTATGCTTCCTGATAGACTGGAAAACTCAGAAGGTGTGGACTTTGTCCAGCGCCAAGCACGGGGCCAGGCACAAGAGAGGGACTCAGTAAATATTTGTTGAACAAATACGAGGGAAATACACATACAGCCGAGGGAGGCACGTGGGGTGGGTGGGATGCTTGCCCCACCCCACAAATAAGGAAACGCTCAAGGGAGAGGTGGCATCTGGACAGCCCTCCACTGCAGCACCAGCCAGGGGCACTGGCCACGTCTTGCCATCTCCATCCTCATCCCCAAACTAAGCTGGAGACAGAGGAAAGAACGGGAGGATCCTGGAGAACTTTAAATTCCACAGGAAAGAGGAAGATGCATGAAGGTGTCAAGGGAAACAGGAGAGGGCTGAACACCCAGCTCTGGCGGAAACTGGGCCATCTGGAACTGAAGAAATTAGAAAAGCTGAAGGAAAGAGGATTCCTTTTCCTGGGCTTTCTCACAATGTTTGGGTTCCGGACCAATCTAGGACTGGACTCAACAGCTTCCTGAGGTTCCCACTTCAGGAAGCTGTCATGGGCTACCTCCACCTGCACACCTAGCCCCTTGCTTCTGGCCCGCCAGGACCACAGGGAACTGAGCGTGTGTCATGCCTTGTTCACTCCTGGACACTTCTGGCTGAAACAGTGTGCGCTTTGCACAAACACTGTTCTAGACTCTGGGAATATATCAAGATAAACACAAAGATCCTGCCTCTATGGAACTTAACAAAGAGGGATCCTTCTGGTCATGCCCTCAGGCCCACTCTGCTCTCCAGCAGAGAGGAACTGGGTCCCTTCTCTCAACTCCTGTACTAGTCAGCAATACTTGTGGGAGCCTTCACCAACCCTAAGGAACATGCAGCAAGGGTCTCAGAGACTCAGGTGTTGATGGGCCAAGCACGCTCCCACTCCCACGAGGCCCATCTCTGAATTCCTCAGTGTGGGGTCTCCATTTCCCTGTCAGGGTCTCAATTTTTTCCTTCTGTGAATTGAACGGGCACAGTTAGTCCACTTCTGGCTCAAACCCACCCCCCACCCCTACTGTGTGATCCAGGGAGAAGAAAGCCCCTTTTCTGGGTCTGTTTTTCAACCTGAAAACGAGAGGCACAGGAAGTTGTGCTGCTAATTTTCTAAGGGCCTTGTAAGTCCTGATATCCACAAAACTGGTTTAATTTGAGATCTCAGACGGGCACCCTACTTCCCGGCACTCCAGCTTCGCAATATGAGATCAGACTGGGTCGGATGCACTTGGGGATATCCCACTGTGTCAAACTCACTCTGCTGCCTCCACCGGGCCCTTCGGCGGGTCCCCTTCCTCTCCGGCCTCGGCTTCCCCATCTGCAAAATGGGAAGACTGCGGCTAGTCCACTATACTATGACTACACGTTCGTCCAACTGCAAGTACGGAGACCGACGCGCTGGATACCCTAGTAGAGCCCCCGCCTTCTCCGGACTCAGTTTCTCCTTCTCGGGTCGAGGGGAAGGACTAGAGGCCCAGATCACACGCTCGCTCTGCATCGCCCCAGCCCCAACGCCAGCCCCAAGGAGCCTTGGCGGCCGCATCCCCCGCCTCTGGTCGACAGCTCGCCATCGCCCTGCCCTCACCATAGTGTCGGCAGGGACCTAACCCGCCGGTCACTTCCGCCACCGCTGCCGCCGCTGCTCACGCTCCCACCGGTAGCCACTCCGCCGCGCGCCACAAGGCTGAATGGAATGGCAGCGACAGGAGCCAGTCGGCATGGAGCTTTAGGGAAGGGCAACCAATGCACGTGGAGTAGGGCGGGGCCTACTAGGGACCAAGGGCAGGGCGGGCGGTGTTCCCGCCAGAGGAATTAGGGAAAGAGCCGTAAAGTGCCGCGGTGAATGCTGCAAAAGGGGGCGGAGCTACGCGAGCCGGCGCTGGAGTCTCCTTGGGTAGGGTTTCTGGCTTAAGTAGAACCTACGGCGCTCTGGGTCCACGCTGTGAGCAAGACTGGTTACTCCTTCCAGCTTGTAGCTGGAGAAACCGACGCTCCACGGTTATTAGGAAATGCCTTCTGGCTTCTGTTCTGATTTTCACTGTTGTAGTTGGTCCTCATCCAAGGCCATCATTTGGTAAGTTGCAATCCTGACTGTGCCCCTCTAAGCCTTAGTTGTCCCGCCCTGTAAAATAGGTGTAATGATAGTGTCTGCTCTAGAAGGTTACAGTGAGGATGAAACGAGTTAAACCACAAGAAAGCACTTTGGACAACATCTGGCACATACTGTCGAGCACCTACCTACTACCACTTGCCTGCTCTTGGAAACAAAAGCGAGTAAACCTGAGAAAACTGGCTCTCTTCGAGTTTAGGAGTCAGTTGGGGAAACATACACTAAACAAAATAAATAGGCAAATGCGTTCTTTCCTTCGGCTACTGGAACAAATCAGAAACTGGTTGGCTTAAAACAGTAGAACTTGATTCAGAAGTCTGATGACAAGGTGTCAGCAGGGTTGCTGCCTCCAGAAGGCCCTGAGGAACGATTCATCCCAGGCTGCTCCTCCAGCTTCTGCTAGTTGTTGGCAGTCCTTGTAGTTCCTTGGCTTGTGAACATATCACTCCAATCTGTTTCTCTTCACATGGCTTTCTTCTCTGTGTCTGTGTCTAAAACTTTCTCTCCTTTCTGTTAAAAGGACACTGTTTCTCTTAATAGACCCACTGTAAATCCACAATAATGTCATCTTCAGATCCTTAATTACATCTGCGAAGACCTTATTTCAAATAAGGTCATACAGGTACCCGGACTTAGAACATAATCTAAGTTATGTTAGTGAATTGATCCAATGTGAAAGCCATATAAACTGCCAGGCTCTTGCTATCCCTGGACCCACAGTTGTCCTTCCAAAGCTGGTCCTGAGATGAGTGCTCAAGGGCACATAGTGTATTTAAGGGGTGACTCTAGGAAGCCCCACTGGAGATGGAGACCTGATACAGGGAGAGAAGGATCCCAGCATGGAGCACCACCAATGAATATGTGAGGCAGAAAGCAACTGGGGGTCAGTCCAGCTGGGGACCTCAGGAAAGCAACATGAGAGCTCACGTCTCAGCCTTGGCAGAGTAGTTCAGTTGGTTTGAACGTTGCTTGGATAAGCCAAGGTTGTGGATTTGATCTCTGGTCAGGGCACATATAAAAAGCAACCAATGCGTGCATAGGTGGACAACAAATCGATGTCTGTCTGTCTCTTTCCCTCTCTCTCACTTCCTTGCTCTCTAAAATCAATAAACATATCCTCAGGTGAGGATTAATTTTTTTAATCAGTGAATAAAATTTTCTTTAAGAAAGAGCTCTCGTCTCATTGCGATCCCATTGTGGTCCCGTCCTGGCTCAGGGCTGCTGGAGCATTTATTCTTCAAGTCCCACCTACCATCAGTCCAGGGCTTTTCCCAGGGAAGCTGGCAAGATCTGGGATGGGTGCACAACACTGGTAGGCGGCCAACCCAGATGTGCTAACTGCTGATCCGCCAGGTCTTGCTTATTAAGGGTAAAGGCCGCTTGATGTAAACAACAGAAACTGGGGTACATGAAATGTCCCAGCATTAATATGGTGGTGGAAGTAGGAAAAAATTCTTGTGCTGGATTACTTTTTCTGTGCCTTTTCTAGACCTTTCTACGTCCAGTGGCTTTCTTTTGCCCAACTAGCAGTCCTATTTCATCCTTGAAAACTCTGCTTGGGTGACCCCATGTGGTAGACTGAGATCACTGCGGTTTTTGTCGGTCCTTTCAACTTAGGGGTGGCCAGAATTCTCCATTCTCCTGCCCATAGTGATTGGTTAAAGGAGAAGCACGTGACCAACCAAGAATAATTAGAATCTCCCTTGAGAGGGATACTGAGGGCTAGGAGGGAGAAGGGTGCTTTCCATGGAGATTGTTAAAAGTGAAATAGATTTACAAGTAAGAGAGTAAAAGCTCAGTGCCGTCTGGTTCCAACATGCACAAGAATTCAACATACATAAGAGCAGAGCTACTTGGTGGACAGGGAGGATGGTTTGTGCCCCTGGATCCAGCTATTCCTGAAGCCATTAGGTCTGACTTTCCACTTATATGAGCCCAAGAGGTTGGTTTTTATTGCTTAATCTGAAGTTTGGACTTTGTCCCTGGCAATTGTCAGAACCTGCATTAGTGCATAGCTGCTCCATGAACTCTTCAATGACTAACCTCAAAATTTAATGATTCCCTCTCTTGTACTTTGAACGTTAGTACCTTACATGGGTTTTTATCATTACCTGGTTTCTCCTCCTCAGTGCTGACTCTGGGTGTTAACAGTTTCCTCCCTTTTTCTGGTGTGATGGGGGAAAATGAAACATATTGTGACCTCCCTCTCTTCACATCCCAGGCTTCTAGTAACATGTGCACTTTGCTCCAGACACTTATTCATGTTTGAGCTGTAAAACCTGATTCTGGTTCAGATTTTCATTCTCTTCTCTTCTCCCACTTGGTTTGGGGCTCACTCCCACAGCCAGACCAGGCCTGCTCTGAATTTTCTGAATTTTACCTGAAGCTGCCAGAGACTCAAATAGCTGCTGAGTAGGTGACCTCCAGTCTGTGTTTGCAAACGGGGCTCTGGGTATTCTGAGGCCCTGGGCCAGAGGTAGCTGATACTTCAGCAGCACCCTGGCTAATTTGAGCCAAGGCTGCTTGGAATGAGATGTCAGTGACCAAGTCTAAGGTTCAGCCCTGTTTCTGAAGATGTGGCAAGAAACTCAAAAACTTTATTTTTCTGACTGTTTTTAGAGGAATTCTGGCCTCTGATGAACATTGGTGGGACCAACTGTGTGCCAGGCTTGTACTGGGTACAGGGACATTGATAATAGAGACACACCCTTTGGCATGAAAGTCCTAACCCCTATGTTGGAGGAAATGGGAAATAAACCAGAAAAGCAATACCTATAAAGGAATCATTTCTGAATGTGATTGTTGCTAAGGAGAGGAGGAAATAAGGAAATGAGAAGGGTCTCCTGGAGTGGTGGTGATTCCATCCAGTGAGGTAAGGAGGGCCTGAAGGAGGAGGTGACAGCCAGGGAGGACTTCTAGGAGGAGGTGATGTTCCAGCTGAGCCCCAAAGGAGAGAAAGCAGTTCATGGTAACTGAAGGAATATCAAGTGCAGAGGCCCTGGGGTGGGACTGTGTTATGCCCTTGGAGGACTGGGGAGTTGCATGTGGGAGATGGAGGGAGGGGAGCCTGAGGTCTCTGGGCCACATCAGCCTCCTTAGCAACGTAGAAGCCTGCAGGGAACCTTCCAGTGCCACTCAGTTCTTCCCTAGCTCAACTTCCTGGCCTGCATGTCTCTTCTGTGACCCTAGAGAGTCTAACCTAGTGGCCTTCCGAACTGTGCCTCATGTTCCACATCTGTAAAACGGGAGGAACAGAGGAGTTGCTCACAGGGAAATGGGGGAACTCCCCGATATTCACGGCAGGCACTCTATGAACACTTTCGGAATAAGTGAACTCAGCGCCTAAATCAGTGAGTTCACGCAGCCACATCCTATGGGAAGAACTGTCCTCGTATTTCAAGTGAGAGTCTGAAACTGAGGGTGGCGAGGCGCCGGGTGTTCCAGGGTTCAACACTGGACCTCGCGTGCACGGGTCTGGGCCCCGGGGGCGCGCACGCCTAGCGGCCTGGGTGGGGCGGGACCAGGGGCGTGGACGTGGGTGGGGCGTGGCTAGGGGCCGGGCCTCAGTGGCGTAGAACGGCGCCAGTACGGACCGCAGCCGGTCTGAGGCGAAGCCCGAACGCCATGGAACAGCCCCGGAAGGCAGTGGTGGTGACGGGTACGCTGATGGCGGCAGTCGGGCCGGGGGCGGACGGGGCTGGGGGTGGGGTGCGGTTTCCCGGGCTGAGCAGGTGCTGGAAAGTCATGCCACGTTTGGAAGATGTCATCGCCCACGGGAGCTCAGCTCGGTCCGTGCAACATAGAAAGTGAAGAAGGGGGTGCCCCAGTGTCAGGGTCGGGGCAGGAAGGGGTGTGGGGATCCAGTTGAGTTCCCCGCACTGAGCAGGCTACTCTGGCGTCCTTCCTTCCTCGGGTGGACACGGTGACCTTACGGCACCTGCCTGTTTCGTCTGCCCGGCGGGTGAGCTAGACTGGACTATTCCTCCCTGCCCCTCCTGAGGTCGGGCCTGTCCCCACCCTCCGCCCCAGGGGACAAAGGCCGATTTGTGGGCAGGAAGTGCCCTGGTGATAGATGAACCTCCTGACAGCTACTGCTCCCCAGTCCTGAGCTAATGGGGGGCCTGCTCTCCACCCCCCTCCCACCCTGGACAGGCCAGGTGGAACTCAGGGGACCTTGGATGTCCAGCCACTCTCCTGGTTGTCCCAGGGACCATTTTGATAAAATCTTTTCTGCTCAGGCTGTTTGTGGGTGAGACCGCCCCTCGCTGTCACCAACTCCCTTAAAGTACCTGTTCCTTGAGGAGACTCAGAGCGACGTGAGCGTCAACTTCTGCTGGGTGTGTGGCTGGGGGGTCATTTTGATTCGCCTCCTGGAATGGTCCCAGTGAGAAATCCAGATAAGGTTCACACAGGTGTTCTGTGATCTGGGAAGGTGGAACCAGTCCTGAGATTCTCAGGAAGAAGCCACTCAACCTGATGAACAGGTGTGTGTGATTGGGGAAAGGTCACTACCCCTTGCAACCCTCCAATCTCTGGTTTTTCGTTGCTCTGTTGCTGACTGTGCAGGCAGCTATCCACTGAGCATTTTCCTTGCATGAGCTCATGACATCTGAACTGTCTCCATTTTGCAGAGGGGCACACTGAGTCTCACAGAGAAGGGAGGGAGTGGTGAGGTTGTGACTCAGCCTGAGGGATGGAGTCCAGCTCTTCCAAGGCACAGCATCCTTTCCTGGTGTCTTGACCCTACCTGGGACTCTCAGCCCAACTGTAGTGACCCACGCTTCCAGGGCAGCCTCTCTTGGAGATGTTTATTTTTTTAGGCAGGGTGACGGGTAATGAGAAGAGGGGAGCCATAGACTCACGGATCTGGGTTTGAATCTCAACTCTTCCATCTTCTCCCTGTGTGACCTGGGGCAGCTGGCTTAACCACTTTGGGCCTCTGTCCGGCTTCTTTAAAATGGGCCCAGGAAACCCCCTTTCCTGAAAGGGGGTGCAGTGAGGCAGAGTGCTACAGTGCACACAGAGCACTCGGCACGTTTCTGGGTGACTGTCTTGGTTCCTAAATGGGGCTAGAGTTTAAACAAGTGGTGAGGAGGGTGGTGGGATGATGTCTGGACCGCCTGGCCTGGGGGGCACCCACGTGCACCCCTTAAGAGCCATTCTTCATTCAATGGTAATTCACACAGTGCCTACAGCCCTCTGCATTTCCAGAAAGGGGAAGAGGCCCCCCAGGAACAGTGACAAAATAATTACTTGCTGAGTCAAGGACAGGGGAGGAAGTTGAGAAAGGAGCAAGACCAGCCTTTTGGGGGCAAAAGGAGGCCACTGGCCTTTTGCCGGGCACGAGGGCACGTGAAAGTAAGGACGGGAAAGGAGTTAAAAGCAGACCAGTGTGTGTGGGTGGGGGGCAGCTCTGAAGCATCACTGGGTGTGCCCCAGAACTCAGGACAGGCCTCCAACATTGTCCCAGGTGTCAGCTGCTCCTGCAGCTCCCTGCCCTGTTCTTCCAGATGGAGGCAGCAGCCCGACCCTGGGCAGGCTGGGAAGGGCCACTCTGTGGTGACATGCTGCTTTTACTGTTTTTGTTTTTGCTTTTTTTTTTAGGGTTTGGTCCTTTTGGGGAACATACCGTGAATGCCAGCTGGATTGCAGTCCAGGTAATTTGGATCCAAAGGGTAGGAATCAGTCTTGGGGCTGGGCTCCCACAGGCAATATTTGGCACCAAAGAAAGGAAGGACTCCACAACAGGAACATCTCTTGTGAAGCTTCCTGTGACATATTTCAGTTTGATGTGTGCGTCTTCCCAGATAGCAGCTGCTGTAGCTTACATGTGTTGAGCCAAGTGTGTTCTGTAGCCCAGCACTCTGAATTTTCCTAACAGCCCCTACGTGGTTAGGAGTAGTTACTCCTGCACCCACTTGATGGATGAGGAAACTGAGGCCTGGAGCGAACTATCTGAAGTCACACAGCCAAAAATACAGAGTGGCATTGCCTCAGAAGTGCCCCATGCCCCAGCCAGGTTTTTGGGGCACCAGGTAGAGATATTGGGGGATGTATTAACCTTTTGGGGGGGTGCAGTGATCCTCATTGGTACCTCCCAGCTGCTAGGGGAAGAGAAGTCTGCATATTGGTTGAGGAGTGGGGGGGTCTTTCCTGCTGTCCTAAGCAGGGTGTCAGCCAGTGAGCCTTCCAATTTCTTTGTCAGATGGGGCATTTGGAGGGACAGACTAGGGAACAATGGGCAGAGAGAAAGAGAGAAACGTTTTCTCCCTATATAAATCAGATCTGCGAGACCGGAGCCAGACTCGTGTTAATCCTAGCCCATTAGCTGCTTGATTTAAGGCATCGCCTGCTTTCCACTCCAGAGCCCTGAATTTGGAGAGAAATTCAAGTTGAAACCTTGATGGGCCAACCCCTAACTGGAGCCCCTACTTTTTTAATCATCCTTATTCCGATCTCAAAAATCTTGGCCACTTTCCTTTTATAAAAAGTTTACCCCATTTTGTGAGTGAGACAGAGGGGTGGGGTCCCCGGGACCCTGCAGATGGGAGCATGTTGCAGGCCGTGCTCATAGCACCCGCTCCCTGGAGCCCCAGACAAAAAGGAAACAGCGTGTTTCTGAAGACGTGTGCGTCTGGCTTTGTGCGGGTTTCAGACCCGAGCCTTCATGGGGCTGAGTGGACACAAAGCCGTGTGTCTGAATTCCTGGGCCCCAGACATGATGATCTGCATCTAAATAGGAGAAAAATCAATTAAACAATCTTTGGAAATCCACCCCCCCAGCTTTAGGACTCGGGTGGAGGGGGTGGCTGCTTTTCATCCCACTGCCTGAGGGGAAACACCCCTTCTGTTAAAATCGCTCATCTCTCCAGACCTTGCCTCTGGAAGACTTTCAATTTTCTTCTTCAAGTTTATGAGCAAGAGAAGATTTTCCATCATTCCCCAGCTAAAAAGACACCAACCTGCCCAGATCTGATTGTTCCCCTGTTCACGACGAACAAAACGAAACTGGAGGGGTACGGCTGTCCTCCAAATGCTTGTGCTCGTGTAACTCCACGGGATCTTATTCACAGGCGCCTGTGTGTCACCTGCATCTAGGGTCAAGATTTAGATCATCCCAGCCCCTTCCCATTCTTCCTCTTTCCAGAACCCCTGTGCCCCCCTAGGCTACCCCCTCCCCAAAGTGTAAGCCTCTCTGCTGGCTTCACTGCCACCGCAGGCAACTCTCGCCAGGTCATTGGAGCTGAGTCGTCCCAATTGGTCTGCGCTATCGACCCAGGGGTCGCTTGGAGCCGCTGTGGTGCCTTCTGGTTGGCCTGGATAAAGCAGTTTTGCCTGTGAAAAGAATGCAGCTGCTGGAGAAGGCGAGTCCACGCCTCAGGAACTAGGCCCCAGGGTTCTTGGTGTGGTCCAGACTCAGGGTGCAGGAGTGGCTGATGTCTGTCTCCTGAGGCTGGAGATGGGGTTTGGTTGTACAGAGGGAGCAGCGTTACTTTCTGACCCGGCTGATTTCCCAGAAGCCCAAGTTGCCATCTGTAGAAGGAGCCCCTCCTTCTCAGGGACCAGCTAACTTCTCTCCCTGTCTGTCTCTCCCCTTCTCTCTCCATCTCTCTTTCTCTTTATATCTCTATTTCTGTCTCCCATTCTGTCTCTTTGCTTCTCTGTGGGTGTCTGTCTTTCTCTGTCTCAATCTGTGTCTCCCCTTCTCTTTATCTTTCTCTCGCCATCTCTGTTTCTGTTTTTCTCTGTCTCCCTATTTCTCTTGGCCTATGAGTCTCTCACAGTCTCTCTTCCTTTCCTACTCCACCTCTCTCTGTCTCTCTGTCTCTCTGTCTCTCGCTCCCCTTCCCTCACGTGACCTTCCTTCTTTAGCCCTGGGTGAACGTCCACCAGCATCAGGAGGTGGGAGTTCTGGGGGCTGAGGGGTGAACCCTGCACACTGTGGTCTTTCCCCAGGATGGTGCTCCTCAGCACCTCTTGCAGGAGAGAATGTTTTTCATTTTTCTGTCTCTCCCACGTGCTTCATGGGACACCAGCTTCATATCTCTCTAGGAGGCCCAGGTAGGTATAGGTCTCAGGGTGGGGACCCCTTGGCTTGGAGCTGTCTGGGGCATTCCCTGCCTGGGCAGGCGAGGAGGAGCCGGGTCACAGGTCCCTGTGACATCACAAGACAATTACTGCCACAGTGAGTCTAGACAGACCTGCTAAGGATATTAACCAGGGAACAAAAGGGGTCTTTGTTGTGGGGTCAAGGGAATCGGTCAGACGAGTCCGAGTGGCGGAGTCTTGTCAGGTAGACAGGGCATAGACAATGCACTGTCTGGGGCCCTGGCAGTCCCTTGCTTTCACGGGGTGTGTTCGGCGCTCTCTGCCCATAGCTGGGACTTGGGGTATGCTGCCAGGCCCCGGGGAGAACCAGCGCTTCCACTGGAACAGAAAGTGTTCAGAGGCAAAGAATTGAGTGAGATTACAGCCATTCACTTTTCATAACTTCAGACGAACTTCACAGCTGCTCTTTGACCGTTGCCCTTTTTAAAATTGGGGCATAATTTGCATAAAGCCACACATACTGACCTTCACTGGCCCTATCACTTTGGGGAAAAGTATTTATGCCCATGTCTCCAATGCCTTAAGCAAGGTAGAGGGCATTGCTCTCCACCCAGAAAGTACCCCCTGCCTCCCCATCCTGCCCCAGGGACAGCTGCCATCCTGAGCTTAGTCAGCAGAGAGGAGTGCTGGGAGGTGTGGCTCAGCCTTTGCACCCGAGTGTGCCAGCTGCTTTTGCTTAGCCTGCTTTGGTGAAGGGGGGCAGCTGGCTCTCTTCCTGACTCACCCCCTTCTCCTATTGACATTGGCATTGAGGGGCTTCAAGGTTTCTCCCTAAGAATAATTTTTTGTTTTTATTTTTTAAGAGAGAAAGGAGAAGGGAAAAAGAAAGAGAGGGAGACAAACATTGATCACTTGCCTCTCACATGCGCCCCTACAACACAGGCATGTGCCCTCACTGGGAATCGAACCTGTGACCTTTCACTTTGCTGGATGACACCCAGCCAACTGAACCACCGGTCAGGGTGTTCCCTAAGAATACAGCAGCACTGACACTCCTATCAGGGTCTTTGGCGAATAGGTGACTGCCTCGCTGTGGGGCTGCTGGCTATGAGGTGTGTGCATGTTCTTTGATGGTGGTTTTCATAGTTTAAATTTTTTCCCCCACTTGGAGAAGGGCTAAGTGGGCACCCAGAGGACATGAGGAGCAAAGGTTAGTTGAGCTGGTGACTCATTCTGTGGCTCCTGGCTCATCTCCTACCACTAAGATGATGTGGGCAAGTGGCTATCAGGCTGATGCTGGGGAAGAGGGCAGAGAGGGTAGCAGGGACGGTCGGCCGCAGGAACCCGGCATCCGCCGTAGCACATCCCATGTCACCGAGGCCACTGGGACAGTTTCCCTTCCCCAGAGGGGGTTCCTGGGGTGGGCCACTAGTCAGATTAGCAGCTTCCTTCATCTCTCTGCTCTCAGAGGTGGTGCCCCCAAATTGACTTGTTTGGGCCTATGAGGGGCTCACTTTGGGGACAACTTCCCAATTGAAATTCTGAACAAATAAACAATCCTTTTAAAATCCTCACTCAGCCTGAGAGATGGATTCTTTTAATTTCTTGCCTTTCAGCCTATTTTCTGTTGCCAGAAAAGGCTGCCAGAGCCACAGGAAGACGACACAGGGCAGGGTGGGAAAGTTCCGAGCAGGGGGGGCAAGAACAGGGGGACCACGGAGATGGGGTGTCAGGGCGGCTGAGGTGACTCACCTACGCCCAGTCAGAGCCTCTGCTGCAGACTCGTCCTCCCTGCCCTGTGGGGAGAGGAAGCAACCATCTTCATCCCCTTTCAACTAGAGAAATTTTTTGACAAGTTATAAGAAGAGTGCGAAGAAGTCTTCTCATGCCCAGATTCCCCGAATTTTCTCTCTGTAGAGAAAGAGATAAGAAGATAAATATAATATAAAAATTTTCTTGACTTCTAAGCCATTTTGTTTGATGGCTAATGTTTTATTTTCATTTTTGCTCAGAAAAATGAAAATTAAACATTATACTTGGTTATAATTAGAACTTGAAAAGGTACGTTAATTTACAGTAGTTGATAAATATTTAAAAACTTCAAAAAGCTCCAAAAGTAAAAGTTTAATTTTAGTATGATCATAAATATCCGATTGCCTTGGGAGACAGCCCAGTCGGAGTTTGTTCTTGCGATCCGGGAGAAACCGCAGGAGGCCTGCCGCCAGCTGACTCGGACAACAGGGCCAGTTCGTGCCGAGCCTCCGCTTGCTGTGCAGCTGCGCCGACTGCTGGAGCTTGTTGTTGTATTTAGGTTCGCCTTAAAAGTAGGTATTTGTACTTGAGTGTCTGAGTGGGTACAGGGGCGGTGGGAGGCCACGACCCTCTCCCCAGCGTTCCAGTCCTGTGGCAGCTGGGTCACGAATCAATACAGACTTCTTCCTCTCTCAAGAAGTGTGGGTCTAAGCCCTTTCTATTGTGATAAAGTATGCATAGTGTAAAATTCCTCTTGACCATTTTTAAGCCTACAATTCACTGGCATTAAGCACATTCGAACTGTTGTGCGACCATCACCGCCCTCCATCTGCAGGCCCTCTCACCTCCCCCAGTG